GTGTCTACAGAGCTGTGGTGGATGTCAGTGTGTCTACAGAGCTGTGGTGGATGTCAGCAGTGCCTGTAGCTGTTCTGGACTGGTGGCACTTCCTATAGAGCCATGGTGGACATTCTGAGGCCCAGCAAAGCCTGGAAGGGATACTGTTATTTCCACCAGTTGTGTGGCATCCCTGCTGAGGAGGGAGATAAAGCTCACCATAAGGACGACGGTAGGACCTGACTCACAGACCCAGAGATCAGAGAGGCATGCTTTCCAAGGGCACAAAAAGAAGTCCCTGACCCCATTCCTTTCGCAAACACTCCAGAAACTGAGCTTGCCCCTGTGGGAGGCTTAGCAGCTATGCCCAGGCACACTCAGGCAGCTTTCAGAAGCAAAGGCCAGATGAGTAGAAGCATGGACTCTGATTACACTCTTGGGACTCTCCTGTTCCTTTGTCCTTGAATACAAAGCGACCAACTACAAACCTCCATTCGCTTTTGAACCCATGAAAAAAACAACAGAGAAAGAAACAGATCAGGGCATCTCATCATCTGACACAGGAACACCCTTACACAGGCACCAGGCACGCAAGCACGCACACAGCTCCCTCCCTTCTCCTGGTCTGCTCCATGCTCTTGCCTGGAAGACCAGGTTGGGAAAGTCCAGGTTGCTCTTGCGGTGACAAGGTGAGGACCTCCACACTAGAAACCCTTTCCAAATCCCATTAGGAGTTCTTCTCTTTGTGGGCCGGGGTAGTTGGTGGTTTCTGGGGTTGAGGTATCTTAACACATGCATTCGGGGGAATCCCCAGGCCCTCATCTACCCAACTCTTCCTGGGGACATCCTGCCTCTCTTTGGGCTTCAGTTTCCTAATGATAGAGTGATAGTGTGAACCATACATTCAGGGCCATTTCTGTCCCGTGTTAAGTACCTCACAATTCTCATATTTGTCAAAATGAAACATCGCTATTTTTCAAGAGAAAACTTCAAAACAGACTAAATCCTTGTGGCTTCTACACTCTGGAGGTTTGGCTCATCAGTGTGTTCTTGCTTTTCATTCCTACGGCTTCGTTTTCCAAACAATCTGACGGAGACAGGTGAGTGACAGACAGCCTGTAGAAGAGGGGACACGTCGCTCTGCATTTTTGGCTCTGTGCCAGTCATTAGTGAGTGACTTTTATTAGCTGTTTCCCAGGCTGTGCATAGAGAAAGGCAGGAAACAAAATCCCACACCTTGAATGGCAGCCAACACTGGGAACTGTGGGGCCCTGTGGCCAGGCTGCACAGAGGGTGAGGTGCCTGCTCTCTTAGCCTCTCCCATCCGTTCTCAGGCATGGTAGGAGAGAGCCTCAGAGTGGTGTGCAGAATATCAGACCTAAGTTGAACCCACATCTGTGGCCTGACTTCTTCCAGACGCCATATCTTCCTCTCTACAGTCAAGAGCACCCGCCTCAGGGCCGTAGGCATGACAGACCAGGATGAGACACACTCGGTGTCGTCAGTCTCAGCCGCAGATCATGAGCAAGGTGCATAAGCGTGAATTCTGCCAATCGTATCAGAAAAAAAAAAAATGCTCCAGAGGTTCCCTGAAAGCAAAGCACTCCAACATGGGGTCACTTTGTCACTACTGTCTAGAGGTGTCTAGTGTGAATGGTCAAGTGCACCTCTTAATCAGCTTTGGCTACCACTCTTTGTGTGTGTGTGTGTGTGTGTGTGTGTGTGTGTGTGTGTGTGTGTATTTTGTCTTAAGAAGAGTTACTAATTTAGCTTGTTGTGGAGGCAGAAACTCTCTGGTCATAATCATTTACATAGAGTCCCCAGGAATGTGATGGCTATTCCAGAATGATGTCACCAGGGCTATGGCCTTGGTGGCACAGACAGCCTGGGTCAGGCCCTACCTGTAGCCATTCTCTGAGGAGGCAGGTCATCAGTTTTTCCTTAACTGTACTCCACAAAATAAACAAAGGACAAACATTCCTCAGGTTAGCTTAACGCCGAGCATCTTTAACCAATGTACGGAGATTTCCTCATCAACTTGCACTCTATAGATAACGTGTTTCTCAACCAAATGTGTCTCGGCTGTATGAATTAAGAGGCAGGCACACACACACACACATACGCACACACGTACGCACACATACACACGCGCAGGCGCACACACAGATAAACGAGGCTATGAGCGGGTTCAAGCAGACAGCACTTGGGAATGATATTCACTGCTAACAGACGGATCATTTCTTTCAGTGAGGGCAAAGACTCCAGAAGAGAGGTAAGGAAGGCTGAGGCTCAACCAGGGACATGTGCTTGCTGTGTCTGTGCTTAGTGACCTGAGCAGCAGGGCAGCATCTCCTCATTTACCTCTGACCTGCTATCAGCATGAAAATCAACACCCACAAGCTGTCTGGTGTCAATACCAGCAGCTGATAGGAGTCTCTTTACACGTCCCCATTCTTCAAGGAGACCAGAGCCCAAGCAGGACTGGCAATCCACTGCCCACCCCCTCCCGGGTAGTCAGGAGCCCTGCTGCCCACCCAGGAGGACTTGAACCCGAGTCCTCTCTCCAGGCCCAACATTTAGGAAACCGAACACAACATATGAATGGCTTCTGAAGAGCCTAAGCCAGCCCCAGGAGCCCGGATCCTCCAGCCACAGCAGCCCCCAAAGAAGGCTTTTCACACACCACAGTGAGCTCCCTGCCCTCCTTCTGGAACCTGTCACAACAGAGGCTGCTTGCTCAGATGTCCTGGCACTCTGAGCTGCGTTCGTCTCGGTTTGCTTTCACAAATTTTAAAATTTTATCTTTTAAATTGTGTGTGTGTGAGAATGTGCGTGTGCACGTGTAAGTGTAAACGTAAGCCTCATATATGCAGGTGGCCAGAAGAGGGCATTAGATGCCCTGGAGCTGGAGCTACAGGTAGGTATGAGTTGTACCATGTCGGTGCTGGAGACCAAACTCTAGGCCTCTGAAAGAACAGAATGTGCACTCGGCTTAGCACTGAGCTGCCACTCGAGATTTCTTTTAGCATTCTTTCTGCACTACTAAAGCTTCTCAAGGAAGCGGGTTGTGGGGTGTGGGGGTGTGGGGGTGTGGGGGGACAGCAAGAAGTGAGGCCAAACAACTGGTCAGTGGCAGAATTGGGTTCCCTTCCCAAGGGGCAAGGGATCTGACCGCAAGTTCTTCTGTTTTCCTATCATTTTCAGGACAAGCGTGAGCACTGCCATGCTGTGACAAGCCCTGCTAAACTCCAAAGGACCTAGGGGGCCCCTGAAGGCACTGGCACATGCTTGTGCTGATACATGTTGCTGACTCAGGGCGAGAGACTTCTTGGGAGGCAGCCATACTCACTTGGGAAATGTGGGTCAAGGTCAGACCAAGGTCTCCAGGTCTAAAACATAAATTGTGCCTAGAAGACTACAACTTCTCTGTGACGGTGGAAAAAGTGGCACAACCACCCTTGCAAGGTGCCTGTCCACTGTCACCAGCAGAGCGGGTCCGTGTTCCCATCCACAGGAGGCCACTCCTCACTCAGGGAAGCCCGCTTCCCAAAAGGATAGGGCTGTTTCCTCTCTCTGTCTATCTCAGAAAACTAACAGAGATGTCACAAGCATCCTTAAAATGTCACTGAGCCCAAGCTGCTATTGAGGAGGGCGGGCCCAAGGAGGGCTCACCCCTCTTGACAGTGACCCCCCCCCCCCAGGAATAGCAC